TTGGTGGTGGGGTAGTAGTACTGTGGTGGTAGTACTGTGGTGGTGGTACTGGGTTTGGGGGTGGTGGTGGTAGTATTGTGGTGGGTAGTACTGTGGTGGTGGTGCTGGGGTGGTGGTGGTAATACTGTGGTAGTAGTACTGGTGGTGGTGTGTGGTAGTACTGTGGTGGTAGTACTGTGGTGGTGGTGCTGGTGGTGGTGTGATTATTTTGGTGGTATATACTGTGGTGGTGGTGGTGCTGGTGGTGCTGGTGGTGTGGTGGTGCTGGTGGTGTAGTGGTGCTGGTGGTACTGGTGGTGCTTGGTGGTGCTGGTGCTGGTGGTGCTGGTGGGGCTGGTGCTGGGTAGTGCTGGTGGTAGTGGTATTGGTGGTGCTGGTGGTTTGTACTGTGGTGGTGGGTGGTGGTGCTGGTGGGAGTTTGGGGGTTTGTACTGTGGTTTTGGTAGTACTGTGGTGGTGGTGTGGTGGTGGTGGTGGTAGTACTGGGTGGTAGTACTGTGGTGGTGGTAGTGGTAGTTTGTACTGTGGTGGTAATACTGTGGTGGTGGTGGTGGTGGTGGTAGTACTGTGGTGGTAGTATTGGGGGTGGTGGTGCTGGTGGTGGTGGTGGTAGTACTGTGGTGGTGGTGGTGGTAGTAGTACTGTGGTGGGTAGTACTGTGCTGGTGGTGCCCGGGTGGTACTGGTGGTGCTGGTGGTGCTGGTGGTGGTGGGTGCTGGTGGTGGGTGCTGGTAGTGCTGGTGGTACTGGGATTGTTGGTGCTGGTGGTAGTACGTGGTGGTGGTGGTGGTGCTGGTGGGGGGTGGTGGTAGTACTGGGTGGTAGTACTGTGGTGGTAGTACTGTGGTGGTGGTTGCTGGGTGGTGGTGGTGGTAGTACTGGGGGTGGTAGTACGTGGTGGTGGTAGTGGTTTGTAGTACTGTGGTGGTAATACTGTGGTGGTGGTGGTGGTGGTAGTACTTGTGTGGTATACTGTGCTGGTGGTGCTGGTGGTGGTGGTGGTAGTTTCTGTGGTGGTAGTTTCTGTGGTGGTGGTGGTGGTGGTAGTTAGTACTGTGGTGGTAGTACTGTGTGGCTGGTGCTGGTGGTTGCTGGTGGTGGTGGTGGTAGTACTGTGGTGGTAGTACTTTTGGGGGGTGGTGGTGGTGTAGTACTGTGGTGGTTTGTACTGTGGTGGTTGGTACTGGTGGGTGTGTGGTTAGTACTGTGGTGGTAGTACTGTGGTGGTGGTGCTGGTGGTGGTGATGGTAATACTGTGGTGGTTTGGTGGTGGTGGTGGTGGTGGTTTGTACTGTGGTGTTTAGTCTGTGGTGGTGGTTGCTGGTGGGTGGTGGTAGTACTGTGGTGGGAAATTTCTGTGGTGGGGGGTTTGGGGGTGTGCTGGGTGGTGGTGTGGTGGTTTTGGTGGTAGTACTGTGGTGGTAGTACTGTTGTTGGTGTGTTGGTGGGGCTGTGTGGTTTGTTACTGTGGTGGTAGTTACTGTGGTGGTAGTAATGTGGTGGGGTGGTGGTGGTGGTGGTTTCTGGTGTTTGGGGGTAGTTCTGTGGTGGTAGTAATGTTGTGGTGGTTTCTGGTGGTAGTAAATGTGGTGGTAGTACTGTTTGGGGGTGGTTGCTGGTGGTGGTGGTGGTAGAACTGGGGGTGGTGGTGCTGGTGGGTGGTGGTGGTAGTACTGTTGTGGTGGTGTTGGGGTGTGGGTAGTCTCTGTGGTGGTAGTACTGTGGTGGTGTAATGTGGTGGGGTGGTGGTGGGGGTGGTGCTGGTGTTGGGTGGTAGTACTGTGGTGGTAGTACTGTTGTGGTGGTGCTGGGGTGCTGGTGGTAGTACTGTGGTGGTAGTACTGTGGTGGTGGTGCTGGTTGGTGGTGGTGGTATACTGTGGTGGTGGTGCTGGTGGTGGTGGTTTGGGAGTACTGTTGTGGTGGTGTTGGTGGTGCTGGTAGTACGTGGTGGTAGTACGTGGTGGTAGTAATGTGGTGGGGTGGTGGTGGTGGTGGTGCTGGTGTTGGTGGTAGTACTGTGGTGGTAGTAACTGTTTGGTGGTGCTGGTGGTGCTTTGGTTTGGGAGTACTGTGGTGGTAGTACTGTGGTGGTGGTGCTGGTGGTGTTGGTGGTAGTACTGTGGTGGTGGTGCTGGTGGTGGTTTGGGGGTGTACTGTTGTGGTGGTGTTGGTGGTGCTGGTAGTACTGTGGTGGGGAGTTTCTGTGGTGGTAGGGAATGTGGTGGGGGTGGTGGTGGTGGTGGTGCTGGGTTGGTGGTAGTACTGTGGTGGTAGTACTGTTGTGGTGGTTGCTGGTGGTGCTGGTGGTAGTACTGTGGTGGTAGTACTGTGGTGGTGGTGTGGTGGTGGTGGTGGTAGTACTGTGGTGGTAGTGCTGGTGGTGGTGGTGCTGGTGGGATGTGGTTAGTACTGGGGGTGGGAGTACTGTTGTGGTGGTGCTGGGGTGCTGGTGGGTAGTACTGTGGGGTAAATACTGTGGTGGTAGTAATGTGGTGGGG